TTAAAATGCAAAAGAGCGAAACCTTTTGGGCGCTGTCTGCGCGACAAGTTGTGGCCAGCTCCAAAAGGCTCGTAAAATTCATTGAGCAGCATTAATGAGCGACATTAATAGCTTGTCGTAGCAGCAGCAACATTTGACWTTGTTGTTGTTGCTGTTGCTGTAAATGTAGATGTAGATGTATATGTTGTTGTTATACCTGTTCCGTAAAACATTTTATTGATTTTTCTAGCCAAGCAGCAGGTGTGATTTTTAGCAATAGTTTTCGCTTTTTTTTCTGGATATTGTTTTTTATATATTTTTTTTATATATATATTGTGCGTGCCAGCAAATGAGTCGAGCTGATGTATTAATTAGGCAAATGTGCCTCAAATAAACGAGAAATAAGACCAAGCCAATCAACGAGCTGTGCACGGGCAACCCTTCGAGCGACAACAGCAACATAAACATAAAATAGCAGAGCAACAGCCTGAATTGCCACGCCCCGGCTAACAACAGCATGTGGCTGTGCGCAACAACGAATCCGTTTTGGCCAAAAAGGAAATGAGCCCAGGATATAAAAGAAATATCACAAAAAAAAAAAGTCTGCTCAGGCCTAGGACAGACAAAAAAAATGAAATTTGAATTTTTAAATTAAATTTCACAGTACACACAGAAATTTATATATATGCACGTACATATATATGAATCTATATATATATTTGTATATATTTATATACCCAGCGCGCTCTTGTCTAAATGTAACTGTTATGGCAGAGACATTTTGTTGGCACTACGCCTCGCCTCGCCTCTGCCTCTCATTTCATTTCATTTCATTTCACTGGCGCTGGCAGCCACCCAAAAGCCCCCCAAAAAGTCAGCCCTACCACCCAAACCACCAACTGACAGCAACCCAAGTCAAAGCCAGCATCAGATATAGAAATTTTCGTTGCGCTGTTGCCTGAGATCTGGGCGCTATCTTTTGCCATCTTCTCTTTGTGTATGAGTGTGAGTGTGTGTGTGTGTGTGAGTGGGGGCTGCTCCAAAACAACCCCCAAAAGCGCTGAGGGTTGGCAGACAGCAACTGCAAACGACTTTTTGCGCTGGCTGCGAACAATTTAATGAATGTTTTGTTAGATAAAGCAAAAAGAAGAAGAGAAAAAAAAAATGAGTTGATAAAATGTCGGCGCAACGTGGGCAGTGGGGTAATACACACACACACACGCGCACACAGAGAGAGAGTGCTACTGCTACAGCTGCAGATATATAACTAACACACACAGATACAGATACATCTAGAGATACAGATACTTATACAGCGGCTGACTGTGTGCCCCCAAGTAAAAGATGTTACACTGAGATAAACGTAACATTTTCTGGGCAAACGGCTGGGGCAGTGGCTGTGCCTCTCCCTCTCTCTCTATCTTGCTCTAACTCTCTCTTTCTCTCACTCACTCACTCTGTCTCTGTCTCACTCTGGCTCTTGCTTTTGGCCAGCTGCGTCTTTGGTGCGATATCTTAGATGGCAAAGGGCATTGCCATCCCCAGCGCACAAAAGCTGCGCAATAAATAGAACTGTAGCTCGGCTGTCTGACCCAGCAGCCCGACTCGCCCCGTCCCGTCTCTCGCTCCATCGTCCCTCCGTTTTTCCGCCTCTCTGCCCGCCTATATACAAAAGCATTTACTGTTTCGCTCGCTTTTCACTCGCTTTACACAATTTTCGTGGCACATTTGTTGTTGTTGTTGTTGTTATTGCGCTTGTTTTCACAATTTCAATTTAAATTAAATATTTAAATGCGCCTCCTCCGCTTTTGTCTAAATGAAAACACAATTTACATACACATTTAACATAAACAATTCAGAAAAACACAAATATTTTACATTAAAATTCCGAGCCCAAAAATTTAATTCAAGCAAAAGCCATTTTGTGAACTGCAGACATTTTTTTTTTAATTTTTTTTTTTTTTTTTTTTTTTCTTTTTTTTTTTTTTTTTTTTTTTTTGTGACCACTTGCTACTGTCATAAATCAACGCAAGGTGCCAGCAATAATGAAAAAACACAAATAATAATAATAATGAGAAATTTGTCATTGAATTATGATGAATATCAAATACTCTGTATATATAAGAATTTGTTATCATCGAACTTCACTTGATGATCAGATTTCTTATAGATAGTCTGTTTTTTTTTTTTTTTTTAAGTAGCAGTGAAGCTTCTTAGTAATGACTGCGTTAAGCTATTAATTCAGATAATATATTAAATCAGGGCCAATAGCCAAGGATCTAAACAGAGAAGGTTTTTTTTTTTTTTTTTTTTTTTTATTTCGTATATTTTTGTAATACAAATAATAATAGTAATCAAAACGTATTCTGATTATATACCTAATATTTGAATTAGTATTCACAATAGATCATAGATGCAATAATAATTCAGGTCTTATTCTGATTTAATAGCTGAAATATAAATTTTTCTAGCTTTTAATGTATCCTAGCTGACTTGATAGCTAGAAATTAAATTGTGCATATAGTATTTAAATACACTTACTTATCTTGAAGCATTAAGCATTGCTGTCAACCATATGAGGTAGAGTGGGATATAGTTTTACGTTGATAGATTTGGAGCTTAGCTAATGATCTTTGCTTGACATATATTGAGCATTCATAGAGCTCTAAAATATACTTTGATGAATGATAACAGATATACTATAGGCTAGCTGATAGTATAGAGAGTACTCATAGAGCTCTTGCAACAGTCCGAAGTACGCCTTATACTACATTAATTCAAGCTAATATAAAGTAGCTATTGCAACAATAATTCAAACCACTAGCAGAAAAGCTTGGAGCCTAGTTAAAGCATTTCAAGTTGTTTGTGTAGGGTATAAAAATGATTTTGATAAATGGCTAACAATTATATATTTTAGCTTAACTGTGAATAGCTGGGCAAGCAAACATCTTTTAACAGATATATACGTATATCAATAAATATTAGAATCAGTTTTTTTTTTTTTTCGATTTACATAGAAATTCAAGTATCGACAACAAATTTTTTCAAGCGATAAAATTTATTTCGATTTGTCGCGATTTTCGATTTAGTGAAGTACAAATTATCGAGACTCGACTGTGTATTTATGTACTTATATGCTTATATACTTTATTTACATTTATGTAATACATAATACATTCTTTGCAACAAATTTGTAGTACGCCTTTGTAAGTGTAATGTGGCAAGGGCATTTTGTCATGCTTAAGCGCATTGAGAAATTTTAATTTATGAGCTCAACGCACACAGACTGACACGACTATATATAGTCGTATATACATACAAATGTACATATGTATATGTTTTATATATGGGAATTAAGTGCATTGTCTTTTGGCTCTTGTATAATATTATTTATTTATCGCAAGCGCCATCTTGTATGCCAGCTGCTGCTGCTGCTGTTTGAGTGTTGGCGCTTGCGCTTTTTGCATTTCAATTAAAATGCGCCACGTTTGACAATGTTTGACAGTTTGTCAATGCGATGCTGCCCCCACGGCCTGACACAGCCAGAGCCACAGCCACAGCCACAGCCACACCCACAGCCTCTCACTCTGCCCCTCTCTCACTCTCTCTTACTTCGTGGCCCTGGCCTGACATTGATTTATGTGCCACATTTGGAGGCAGAGTGTTAGTTAAGCAGCGCCTGCTTAAGCGCGCTGCAGATTTAGCACCTACAAGTGCGACCAGTTGGCAGACTTGCAACATTTTGTGGCATTTGCCTGTTTAGTGCATTTTGTTGCACTGTCATGTTAACAACTTAATTTATATATGTGTATGTGTGTGTAAGTGTGTTTGTGTGTGTGTGTATAGGCATTTTCTGGCCAAAGCTTGTCCTCGTTGTGGCTGCCACATAATTACCACAAGTTGGTCGCTCGCTGCCACGATTTGTAGGCGTTGCAAATGAATTTTGAATTCTCGCACATTTTCGAAATTCGATTTGGTTTTCCTTTTCTTTTTTTTCTGTTTTTGTTTTTTTGCAATCGCAGCTGTCTGTATGTGAAATTGTTACAAGCTCGTTAACACACGGCAACAGTGCCACCAAAAAGTATGGCCCTCTCTGTGGCATGACCTCTGATTTATGTTAATGGCAGCCTGGCAGCCTGGCAGCGTGGCAGCACACAAGACACAACCAGAACAGGTGAGCCGCAGAGGCAGGAGGCAACAATTAAAAATCAAAGTCAAACATGATCAACGCCAGTTTAGGGCCTCGTTGCAATGTGTTTGCCTTGTTGCCATCGTTGTTGTTGTTGTTGCTGTAGCAGCAACATGAACATAAGCCAAGAGAGCTGTATGTAGTCAGTCGCACAGTCGAAGCTGCACAGGCCCAGATGCCAAGCAGCAAGCATGCTCCAAGATCTTTTGGGGCCTGACTCTGACTCTGAGTCTGAGTCTGAGTCTGGTTCTCGTTCTGGCTCTCGTTCTGGCTCTCGTTCGTGGTTCGCTTCGGTCCAGGCACAAAATGTTTTGGGTCTGCAGTTTGGGGCTACGCTTCTTGTAGCCAATTCGTGGAAATTTAAGCGTGGCGCAGACATGCTCTCCAGTTGTTGTTGTTGCTGCTGTTGTTGCTAGTGTTGTTGTTTTTGGGCAGTTTTGTAAAAATTGTCATTTTAATGAATTGATGCTGCTGTTAAAGGCAGCAAGTCGGAGTCCGCATGCCATTTAAAAAATGTTGTTGCCTGGTGTGTCGAGCAACTTTGTTTGCCAAAAGGAGCTGCACCGAGCACATACCTGTGCTCCACTCTGCCCCTCTCTCCCTCTCCCACTCTCATTCTGTGCGTTAGTTTTTTTTTCTTTTTTTTTTGGCACCGTTCAATTAGCGCAAGCAACATATTTGTGGGCGTATGACATTTGCATAATCAATTCAGCAGTCAAGCTGAGCTGAGGATACATTAATAAACTAATTAATCAAATATATATATTGCGTATTTCCTCACACTAACTCTTTCTCTCTCTCTCTCTCTCTCTCGCTTTCTGTCTATTTGCAGACGCTGCAGTCGCTGCAAAGCGCGGCCAAGCGGGCGGGCACTTCCTGCGCCAATTGCAAGACCACAACCACAACCCTTTGGCGGCGCAACGCCAGCGGCGAGCCGGTCTGCAATGCCTGCGGATTGTACTACAAGCTGCACAATGTAAGTACAAAAATCAAACTACAATCTATCTACATATACCCTATCTATCTATATAGCCATACAAGTCCACTGTTTGCTCAGCTTTAAATCGATTTGTGATTTGCGATTTGCGATTCGCTTTTAACCCTCGTTAAGCGCTTAAGCGATTTAACGCAACATTTAACAACGGCTCGGACCACTAGAGCATTCCAGCGGAAACACACACACACACACACACAGAGATAGATTAAGAGTGACAAAAATGAAGTGTATTGCACACCCAACGCCCTCTTTTTGGGCTGCCACAGGGGGTGGCAGGTTGCAGCAGCAGCAGCAGCAGCAACGGCAGCAGCTACCCCGATGATGAATTGTTGATGATTATTTAAAGATGCCCGTCGTGGTTGTTGCTGCTTGCTGCTTGCTGCTCGTGTTTGTTGTTGCAAGATAAGCGTCTGGTGTTTGGCTGTGAAAATGCGATAAGCTTTGATTTTATTATGGCCAACGCGTGAGACGGCAACCGGCGGCAGACGACGGCAACGTCGACGACAACGAGCGCCCAGAAATTGGCGTAATTTATGTAATAGACTACGGCTCACTGAGTCCGACTGCCCCACCTCCAGCCACTCACCCACTCACCCACTCCGCCCACTCGAACCCCGGTGCGGAAATGCAGCCAATGATATAAAGGCTGTCGAGCCATGTGGAAACTAGATTTAATAACATTTTCGCGCCCTGAGGGGCGACCCCAACAGCAGAGGGTTGCTCTGACCAACTTCTGGCTAATTAAAAATTCATTAGCCCATGTACCAGCCGGCATATAAACGTTGGCATTTAGGGTCTGAGATTTGTATACCCTGTAAGCAAAGCAAAAAAAAAAAAGAAAAATTGTGGTAGATGAAAGGGTGATAGCTGAAAGTGCTCAGAGTAACTGATAAATGATATAGAGTGAAATATGAAAGATATGTGCAGCGGGCTATTTAAGATAAAGTATCTTGCTTATGATGTGGTCAATATAGGGTAAAGTAGCTTAACTGTGGTATGATGACTATTGCTTAAAGTAGCTCGACTTTAATTTGCTCAATATAAGACAAGGTGTCTTGCTTATGCTTAATATAATAATAATAGTAATAGTAATAGCTAATAGCCTTTGCTAAGATACTACATATTCTATTGCCCGTTCAATAGAAGAAGTACTTGCATATATGACCAATATGAGATAAAGTATTCCGACTTAGGATCAATATGAGATAAGCTATCTGGATTATAAGCTAATGTATTTTATTTCTGATATGCCCAATAATCTGTTTTGATGCTTTAACTTCTGCATACGTATTATTTGGAATGTTTTTTTATATTGAAACAAATCTTGACTTTCGGTGGTTCTGGTGGCTCTTAAAGTTTGAAGGAGATTCTGCCTCCCATATGCATTCATATATTCTATACGATGTTCTACACAAATATGTAAAAAATATATTTACTCTCAAGATCTTAACTCTGTTCTTACTTCATATATAAGTCCACTTAACAGGGTATTCCCCAGTTCCATTAAATACTCGAGAAAACGTTTTGCCTTCGCTAAGTTTGTTTCTTACATTTTCCTACTTCTTTTTTTTTGCGAATAAGCCCTGCAGCCAGCTTTTAATGACTTTTGTTAAATGTGGCCAAAAGTTTTTTTTGAGGGGACAGGTAAAAAATCACTTGAACTTTTAGCACATTTACATGTCAGACGGTGTTAGACACCAAAATGATGGGCCACCTGTGCAGCCGCAAACTAATTAGGCATTGGCTTTGCTAGRGTGTGTCTGTGTGCGTGAGTGTGTGTGTGTGTGTGTAGCAGCTGCAGTTCAATCAACAGCGGCGGCAAAATATTTTAATTGAGCTTGGTCAAAGGCAAAGTTGGAGTCGAGGCAGATATATATGTGTATATACGTATATGCTTATATGTATATCAAAGCATCAGGCACAAGCCTTATACATTGTATGTGTGCTCCAAATATCTAATCTGATTTATAAACTAAAAGCGGCGGCGGCTTGCAACGTGGCGTATGAGCAATGCGCCAAAAAAAAAACAAAAAAAAAAAGCAAGAAAAACTATAAATGCTGTCGCTTTGGGTGGCTAGCATGTGTGTGTGTGAGCTAGCTAATGGCCTACACACACATACACACACACACACAAGCCAATGCGCATTCATAGCGGCGAAATTTATTTTGCAAAAATTTTCTTTCAATTGGACAGTGTCCCATCTTGATAAGATGCCAATCAGCGCGCTTTTTGCATTGCTCAGTGTTTGTTGTTGCTGTTGTTGTTGCCTAGCTGCAGCAGTTCATTTCAATTCAATTCGTTTGTCATTTGGCCGCCATCGACGTCGTCGTCGTCGTCAGCCTGTGTGGGCCTCTTTGGCTGAGCGATCTGGCCATGTGATTGGCACATTTTATGGAAATGCCGACTGCACTTTACATCACAAGCTGCACTCTATTTGGAAGGGGCGTGGGGCAGGGGGAGGGGCAGCGGCTGCGCTGGTATCGTTACGCGTGTCTTCACGCAGTTCACTGGAAAACAGCTAATTAAGAGCAAATCAGACACTTGCCGTCGCAGAGACACACACACTCACACACACACATACACACACACACACAGGCACAAGACATCCTGTTAACAGTTTATCAGCTTATCTATCGGAACGGCTCCTGCTGAGCGCGCGTGCAGCTGCTGAGTGTCCTGCGGCGTTAGAATAATATATATCTAGACATGTATGCACATGCATGTGATAAATGTATTGCATAAGGCAGCGCCTGGCGCCGTCTCACTCAATTTGCCAACAACAGGCACTGGGCTCTGTTTCGCTCGCCCTTAGTGGAGCGGCCCACCCACTTGGCTGGCTGTCAGCTGTTGGCAAGTCGACTGCAGCGGCGCGCGTGTTGCATGCAGCCCGAGCGCACGCTCGATTAAGATTTTATGCATAAAAATCTGACGGCAGTTTCTTATGAATCCCTTAATGAGCTAGGCCTGTGCGATCAGCACATTAACAACTTTATGCTTTGTTTAGTGGCTGCTGCACATCAATTAAAGCTTTTGAGAAGGAGCAGCAGCAGCTGCTGCTGATGTTGATGCTGCTGCTGCTCAGCTGAGCTAATTGCCACAATTTGTGCTAAACGTTAGGGAGCGGCACAGAGCAGAGACTATCAATTACCGTTGCCGATCGCCCAACTCAGCAGCGGCAGCATCCCTCAGCCACTGTAAGTGATACGTTTGCTCTTGTTTGCGCTCCATTACATTACAATCAACCCTCGAAAATCTCGTCAAGAGGCTCAAACAATTGCTCGACAATTTAACAATTTCTGGGCGCACAAAAAAAAAAAAAACAACAACAACAAAAACAAAAAACAAAAAAAAGGGGCCACAAACAATGTCGTAATTCACGCCCAGGTAGACCGAGCAACGACTATATACTATAACTATATATAT